TGTGGGTGTGAAGCCCCCAGCCAATATCAGCAAGCAGGGTAATGGTAGAATGACAAATCCTGCTTATTTTGACTCGAAGGCACCAACCATAAACCACCTAGTCTCCAAAATGATGACCATTGCTTCAAATTATTCCCGGTTTATCACCCTCATCATTACCTGTCAGATTTCAACGATCCAATCATAGAGGCACAAAATAAAACGAAAAGTGTCGCTAACAAATTCAGAAGCAAATAAATTCTGTAAAGATTAAAATTTAAAAAACAATGGTGCAAAGGGGAGTTAAAGAGGTGTTTGGTCAGTACCCATATTCTGGACAAAGCCTGGATAGCTATTTCAGAGTCTTAAAGCTAGGCAAAGCTTACAGGCTGTCATTGCGGTTCTATATTTACTATGCAGGAATATAAGTGGTGATAATCTTTTTCATCAAACTCCAAACAAGAAAATCAATACATGTGTGTCTTAAATGTTGCACTGCTCAGAGTGACTATTAGAAGCAGTCAGACTCATTAATGCAGGGATATGAAACCTACTCCCACGGTTCTTCTACTGCATTCCAGTAGCATGACGTGGACATGTGCCCTTTTCAAAAAGTCTTAGCTTGTGGAGAATGTTTGCCGTCATTCCTCTCATTCTCTCCTTCAGTTTCCCTGTCTACTCCCTATACTGCTCAAGACAGCACACTTCTATCTTTACTTCTCCTCTGTCCTAATGACTCATACAAAATATTGGCCCTCTAATCAAAGCCGTTCTCAGTTCCTGGCTAACACCACCTGCTGCCAGAAGACAAGGACCATACTTTAACATCAGTAATTGGCACAGGAGCCTGAAGGGTACAGCAGAGGGGAAAGAGTAATGAATGCAAGTTGCTGAGAACATGACAATCTTAAGAAAGAGAAGGAGGATATCAACCTGTGGGAAGAGAAGAAGGTGGAAACAGATGAAAGAGCCTGGGAGGCTGCGTCACCATGGAGACGTTGGTTGAGACGAAGGTGTGCCATGACAACAGGCGTGCCATTCTCCCACCGCCTCATGACGGGGTGATGGGGGGGTGAAGTTGTTAGGAGGAGGAGGATGAACACAAAGGAGCGAAAGTACATATGGCCCTGTGGTCTGTCTTTCACAGTGATCATAATCATTTTTCTTTACAGTGTGTGCGGGTTAAGATGTTCTTGAAGAATTCAAGGCTGAAACGATTGAGTGTTTGCAGCTCCCTAACCTTGACTCCTGGTTGAGTCATGGATCCTTGAGCCGCTGAGGCATAAAATCAAAAAATGCTGCTATATGTATCTGTGTGTGTGTGTGTGTGTCTGAATGTGAACATATGGACGTGTGCCTTTGTTGCTTTGTGACGCACACAAGCCATCATTGGGCTGATATCACTCTCTCCCCGCAGCTTTGACTGACACGTGGATAAACAGAAGCAGGGTCCCCACTGACTGCTGTGGGTTGAGAGACTGAAGGAGGAGGAGGAGGGAGTTACTATAGATGATTAAACTATAATCGAAGAGACCAAATTATGCAAATTGTCTCTGGGTAAAAGGGGAAAGAGAGTGAAACTCAATGTAACATGCAAATATGGACCTTGCTGAGAATATTCATACAACTGTGTTCTATGGTAGAGGGTTTCAAGGACTGAACATGCAAAAAAAATGCAATTTTCGATACTTATTTGAGACAGTGCTGCTAGGATTCTGCATCACAATTCCAGAGAATGTGCAATGAGGCCAATACGTGCTCATTATGAATAGTCAGTAAGGAAGAGAGAGTACAACAAATGTGCAGAAAAAAACCCAATTTAAATCATTTGAAACAGTTTTAAGGCTGAGAAAAGAGGGCCTTTATATTTAGGGCATTCCCAAATCTTTACCAAACTAAAGGAAAAACATCATTCAAAACTAACCCTAACCCTTATTATTCCTTATGGATAAATTAATCTTAATTTACTTAAATTCAGCACTTCTGAGATCACTTTTACCAAGATATTTGCTTCAGTTTGAGAGGCATCTCTGACTTTGGGAAGTTTTATTTTTTAGAAAAAACCTTAACACATGTGTTATGATATGTTTCAATGGAAACTGATCAATATTCATCACTGAAACCAGAGAAAGAAGAGACATTCATTCATTAGCATATTGTCAACGACAAGCTCATATGTGCAAATGCATTACTTGCAACATGCACAAGGAGAGAGTTGACATTTCTAGCAACAAAACTATTATTTACCCTTCCAGCTCATTTCAGTGGACGTTTATTAGTACAGGAAGTAAAAAGAAAAACAGTAAACAAAGATAATGAGTGAGTGAGTGTCACTAAGGACTCTTAATCTAATAACTGTGATTTCCCCGCTTCCTAGCTGTAACTCTAACAAATGAATGAATGAAGACCAAGAGAGAAAAAGGCTATGCAGCATTACCAATCACTGTAAATGCTCCTCAAGTGTCTGCTGTGAGTGTGTGGGTCTGTATGGAACGATTTACACAGACAGCACATCACAAGCCCCAGAGGGGAAACACAGATTCAGACAGCGAATCTTTCTGCACAGCAGGAACCTGCTGGGATTTGAGTTTGAAATCCTCTGATCCATCACTCAGGATCCTCATAGCACCCTGGGGGGCTGCAAACAGAAATTAAGACAGTATAACAAAGGATAACAAGTGAGGATAAGAAAAAAAGATGGACGCATGTAAAGCCTTTTTCTGAATGAACCAGTCCAATAATATGTTATTAATTTAAATGTGGATTTTAAGTGAGACCTGAACAACACACACTTGAGATTAACTAGGTACTAATTACAACATTACTTACACTTTAGTATTTTATGGTACTTTACACTTCAAATCCAATAGAATTAACAGTGAAATCCTGCTGCATTGACATGAGAGGCAATGTTGCTTTTCAGATAAAGAACTTACTTTCAAGACATAATGATGAGCTCAGAAAATACAATGCATGCAGATCAAATTAACAGTTTGTACATTTCTGAAAAAAAATAGCTTTGCTTGACTTAAATCGTAAAATGCTACTTTCCTCCTCTTTGTTTTTACATTATTGAACTGGTACTTTTACTTAAGTTATGGATCTGAATGTTTGGATGTTGATGCACATGCATTGCCATCCTAACGTGTGCTTTTCCTCAAGCTGATCCACAAGATGCGGACAGAGGTAAGCTGAAGAAATACTGTATCCTGCTTAAATGCATTCCTGTCTATTTGTCTGGTGCATAATGACTCACTCGCGTCACAGGAGCTGTGTGACAAGTTATTTTGAGCAGTGAACGAAACACAACATCAGAGCATTTCTGACTCAGACACTTAAAATACAGTAAGAACATGTGTCACAAATATTTTTTCCAGATTTTGAACAAAAAAAAGCTTTCCAAATATTCACCTCTCATTTGCTTTAAAAAAAAACCCCAAAAAACATATTCCATTGCTTAGCTCCTAATGGGTGTGCAGGAGAATGTAACCTTTAAATGATTGATACTACAGTGTGCTGGCTGCCGTCGTGACCTCTGGAGTCAAGGCAGTTTGTGAATGGAGAGATGTGATGACAGAGGAGGAGTGATGCTGTGGGATTATACAACTCATCTGACAAACATCACCACGCATCTGCTTCTTTGTTGGTCCCGCTATCGGTCTCCTGGGCTGTGATTCAGTTTCTATTTCTCTCCTCCCGCTCTTTTGTCACTAACACAGGTACATTTAAACAAGCCAGACATGTCTTTTTTATATGAAACCTTCTGCAGGTCTTCTGCCCTGGAAACCAAGCAGCAGACAGCAAATTTAAGGGAGAAGCATTCCCAATCAAACATTGTAATCGCCTCCATTTGAGGACATTGAGTCCTCTACAGGGGTGAAGTAAAAAAAACTTGAAATGTTGAGCAAAGGGACTACACTAGATGCAATTAGATATGCAATGAAAATAAATGAGTGGGGTTGAGGTAAAGCAGGCCTGAAGTGGAAGGGGGTGTCTCGCAGAATAAAATCATTCTGTTGTACTGTATATGTTTTAGGCTAGTTTGTTGTCTCGGGGTGATACTAAAAAAAGCACAAAAAAATCTTGTGGTGTAAATATTAAAAACATAATTCTTCTTGGTATTATAGTATCAAAATACTTGGATCCAGATAAGCATATAGATCTATAAACTCAAAGTCTGTTCTACATTTTTAAAACAACTTGCTATGTTTTGAGTGATTGCCTGGGTTTCTGATCTCATCTCACCACGATCTTTGTCACACCCCATCCCTGACCTTCCATCATCAGGTGCCCTGCTGTGGCCCTTTTATCCTGTCGACCTGCGGAATGCAAGCTCTTGGCCCCCAGCCGACATGGGGGTTGTTTATCACCGTATCAAGCAGGGGGTAAGGGAAAGAGAGAGAGAGAGACACACAGAGAGGGAGAGAGAGGGAGAGAGAGAGAGGGAGATGGCTGCTAAACTGCGACAGCAACTCCGCGGTGGTTTTAGTCTGTGAGTCATCGCTAGAGGGTTTAACTCTTCATCTACCATGACGATGGTGATGGTAGAAAACTGCAAATTGTTTTAAACCTAGTTTTCCCAAAAGTTCCCTTATTGTGACATGAAATGTGAAAGGCAAAATGTATTTTTCAGATGAAATAGTCCCACAGGTTGATGTTTGCATTAGTTTGTAAGAACATACATGGAGAGGTTATATGAATTAAGATTTCCTTTACATATTTCTATGCAAGAAGAAAAGCTTCACTCTTCTGATGGATGAATATGAAACATAAACATATCGCTCTTTGTGAGACCTCGTTCTGGAGTCAATACATCTGCTTCCAGGCTTTTAAACCTCCTTCCAGTCGATATGCTTTTACAGATCTCCGCTGTTCAACAGACAGCAAAGCGAACTATTTTTAACACTGCAAGGTTTTTAGTATACCATATCATAAATCTGAATCATTTATATGGATTTTTTTTTTTTTTTGGAGCGGCTCTTGCGTGTGTTGTGTGATGACGCGGTGGTCAGGTGTCGCCTCATATAACGAGGGGAGCTGTCCAAGTGCTGAAAACAGAAGAGCCCGAGACCGCTACAGAGGAGATGACATACACCTTCACTGCTGTCTGAGGTTTATTGCCAAAGGTAAGACAAAGATTAGATACATATTCAATTTATTTTTTAGTTCAAATGTTGTCAAAGATTGGAGGGCAGTCTTTTTACGCTCGCTTTTCGCCGATCTCAAAATGTATGTAACAATGGAGATTGTTATTGTGATTAAACACATCCTAAACAATAGAAGGTTATAATGAGTGTAGCTACAGAGAATTAACGAGTAGGGGATGCAATGTTTCAGTTGTGGTTGGTGTTTAATTGAAATCGGATGTTGAGGTTACCCATAACAACGCGGGGAGTGACTCATCCAGTGATGTGAATGCATCTCCTCACGCGCAGCATCCTATTCAATTTGCGGAGCGTAAACCTCTGGTAGGCATACAAATACCGGATCAAAACAGTCTCAAGCACTGTGAGGCTCGTTGCTTTAGAGTAGGTTTTTAATCTCTCAATTTTAGGTAGAAGCAACATTCTCTTGGATTTGTGTTGTTTTTTTTTTAGTCATAACATTTTGTTCTTTCCTCATTCGCAGGTAATAGATAGCCTATAATGCTGCATTTCCACCACAAGTTGCCCGCGGGGGGAGCCGTGGTCCTGCTCGCCTTCCTCGTCCATGGCTGCACCGTGCAGGCTGCGTCTCTCCCCCGCCACTACAGGCTCCGAGGCGGGGAGAGTGAGGGGCAGCCGGCTGCCTACCCACCCAGCTCCGACATGATGAAAGCCCTGGAGTACATAGAGAACCTGAAGCAGCGAAACGGGGGCCGACCCGAACCCGCGGATTATGACGAAGTGGAGAAGTTCCGGGTCCTGCTCCAGCTCGCCTCGCAGCAGGATGAGGCTCCCGGGGACCGTCAGCCTGCCCCCGCCGTGCCGCAGAGACAGGACATTACCGCCGAGCAGCTGATGAAAGCCCTGCTCAGGTCTCTGCAGGAACAGGCCGGTAAAGACGCAAAGCTCAGCCCCGCGTCTGCGCCCAGGAACGACAGACGCACGCACAGGCACCGCACCAAAGACACGGAAGTCCCCGAGAGCGCGCCGGCAGACTACGGCAATTTCCCCAGACCCCATAAGAAATATCCACTGATGTTTGAGGATGAGGAGAACACAGACGCCTCCAAGAGGGCCACGGAGGACTTGGATGAGCAGTACACACCCCAGAGCCTCGCCAATTTGCGCTCCATCTTTGAGGAGCTCGGGAGGATGCCCTCAGTCACCGGCCAAAAGAGAGACGTGTTCGGAGATGACGACGAGGAGGAAGATGAGGGAATGAGCCTGAGGAACCCGGCCTATGAGGATGTGGCCGGAGGAGAGGAGTGGGTCCCCGTGGAGGAGAGGGAGGAGACGGAGGAGTTGGAGAACGGGAGCCATGAAGAAATGGACAGGGCGCTTGGTGAGCAAGAAGAGGCAGAGAGGGAAGAGATGCAGCGCAGGGCAAGCCAGGACCAAGAGGAGTCTGATGACGACACAAAACTCGTGGACTACTACCTGTTGAAGGTCCTGGAGATGAGTGACCAGACCCAGAAGAGGGACAAGACCGGGGAGCAGAGGAAGAGACTGATCCGCCCCTCAATCTTGGATCCCCGGACGGTAAAGGAGTTGCTGGAACTCTCCTTGAAGCTCCACGTCCCCCCGCAGGACCTCATCGACATGTTGCTCACACAGGAGCTTAGGAAGCTCCACCGCGACCCCCACGCCCCGGTTCGTTACATGCCCGGCCAGACCCCCAAGATCCGGTATTTCAACCGTAGACTGCCACTGAAGAGCAAGCCCGCCCACGAGGACATGGACAGAGAGGACTTTTTGGACATTATCGGCGTGGAGACGATCAGTAACGAGTATCCCGTGGTGCAGAGACCCATGAAGACCCCTTGGATAGAATCCCAGCAGTGTCAAATCCAGCAGCAAATCCAGGCCCGGTTAAAATCCCTTCATCATCCGGACGCAGGGAGAACCTGTTTTTATCTGAGCTTAATAAAATGCCCCTGAAGCGCCAAGCTGCTGCTGCTGCTGCTGCTGCCGATGATGATGATGATGATGGCGATGTAGAAGACGAGGTGACCACCTACCTGGCAGCGAAAATCCTTACAGAGTACCCCAACCCCATCGCCAAGAGGGACACGCAGGCACAGCTGAAGGGCCAGTTTCCGTATGAGCTGTACGAGCGGGCCCTGAAGGACTACTTGGGGCAAGCAGACGCTGAAAAGAGGCCAGTTGTCAAGAGGGAGACCGAGGTGGCCACAGAGGAGGTTTACCCCACAGAGGTGCAGGGGAAAGAGGAGAGTACCGCCAAGACGTCAGCTCCACAGATCGTCAATGAAGAAGAGGATGGGAAGGAGCACCGTGAAAAAACCGCGGCTGGGATGTAGCCAGACGCCTTGCAAGACGCAAGAAATTCAGAATATAGTATTTATACTGTCTCAAAAATAAAGTTTTGTGGACGTGATATAGTTTACAACTTTCTATTATAGTATTATAGCTTATACTAATGTCATTCTAACGAAAATGAACACTTACAAAGAAAAGTCCCTACTTGCTGCAAGAACATTATATAAATATTAAAGGTGCAATAGTGAAAAAGGCGTCCTCAAAATGGATGTGAACCTGTCTTTAGTCCTAAATTGCCTATAAATACTTTGATTAATAATCACAATTTCACTATGAATGCTGAAGTTATTAAAGTTTTGTGATGACGTTCAAGGTTTGTTTACATGAATGTTGTTTGTGAACAGCAGGAATGGGCCTATATTTAAATTATTATCAACTGAGTACTGGTAAAAACACTTATTTTTCATCGACATTATGTGAATATATCTGTTAAATATAATGCAGACTGGGCCTGTTAAACACACGCATACAGTATAAAGACAGGAGAACTAAAGGAACATCGTGGGAGTTTTCATTGTGAAAGAGGACAAGTGTTGTTGTGACTCTTGCTATATTCAGGGTTAGTAGATTTAATGTTATTATTATGGATAATTATTTTCAAGTCTAAATAGCAGACCATCGCCTGCCTTCCAACCCTTTCATATTACGAAGCTCTGTATCGTCGGCCTACCAGTGGTTGTGCTATGTATGCTCATTTTTAAACCATTTTGTACATGTTCAATAATGTGTGATGAATCACAGATGAATAAAGCATCAGCGGTATTATTTTTCTTCTTGCTGAGTTGTGTTGCCTTATTAAAAAAAACCTACACCTTCCACTAAATTCAGCCTGGGTTAGAAATCACAGAAAGTATACATTAGGCTAATGGGTTATTATGTTCCCCTAATGATTAGGGCGAATTAACCCTTTATGTCCCCATAAAACACAAACTTCTAGTAGACATAGTGACCTCCATCTTTCAAATGAATACTTCAATGATTCCTCAAAAGTCAAGATTTTACCAAAATACACATTTTAATGAAAAGATTCAACATCATACACGCACACTATAAAAAGCACTGATGTTCACACCAATAGATACGGCTTCTCTTGAAAGACAAACATGATTAAACTGAAAGTACAGATTCAAAACATTTAGATAATTTCACTCAAACTGAGCATTGTGATGGTGTGAAAGGAATCAGAATGACAAGATTATCTATTATAAATATTTCTGTCTTTCGATTGAACTTTTGTTTTTATAGTCAACAATTTGTAGTGTTCTCAGAATGAATCATTCATGTCCAATATATTAACATGGATTTAAATATATAAGAAACACATTTACACACCTAAAACAACATCAGTATTAAGATCTTCATACCCTGATCCTCTATCATAACTTCATTTAAATTAAACAGGAATTAGTTTTAAAAAGCACTCTCCCCCCCTCGCTCCCCCTCCCTTCATTAAAGCACACAGCTATGAACAAACATTAGACTTACTCTCAAATGAAATTACTGTGCAGTAAGGCTTCAGGCAGAATGCAAGCAGACATTTATTATCTCCCATTTTTATTTAGAAAATGTTCAGTAGCATCATCCCTTTTTTTTTTTTCATTTTCAAAATCTTCTGACTTACAAACAGTACATTTGGCATCCCGTATTGCTGTATTCCTCCTCGCTGTTACTGTAAGATTTTGTTTTTTTTTATCCCGGCATGGGTTAAAATGCTGGTTTGCTCATATACTCCTCCATGGTCTAGAAGAAGGCAGAACAGAGCAAGACATAAGATAGACAGCCTTGTAAAACTGAATCATGAGACATTTAATATTCACAGGCAGGCACACATCCACACATGACCTGCTATTGAATGCTGAGCACACCAACACAAGGTACGTGACTAACACAAGCAGAACATCTAACCTTCTGTCCATATTCAAGGTCATCCAAACAGCTCCACCTCATACCACTCACTGCTGTCATCCTGAAGCGATAATAATCAAAATGAATGAGGAGGCTACGCTGAGCACAGTCCAACTCTATATTTCAAAGTGTTAGTAAGCCCTGCTCAGAACAACAAACCCCAGTTAACTACCGTACCACACAGAGCCACGGACCTACAGCAGGGAGAGGGGGAGAGCGGGAAGGGTCAGCCAAACACTAAAATCTATGATTCAGGGAAATCTGTCCCACACTTGCAATAGCACTGACAGAGAGAGAGAGAGATACACAGACACACAGAGGGGGGGAAGAAACAGCAGCACAAACACAAATCTGTACAAAAAGGAGCAACAGCTCATAACCCCTAACAAGGAAGACAAAGGCACACCAGGGACTCAGCAGCACCACTGTTAAGTGCACTCATTATGACACACTACTGCAACCACATACACTTGATTCATATGAAGTGAGTTTTTTATTTTTTATTTCCACCAACTTCTGCCATCTCAACCCTCTTTAGTAGCCCACATACAAGATTTAATAATAAAAAAATACAGACAATCAACTACAAACTACATGTATAATCATATGAATGATCTGTATGAAGCCATGCAACAGATGTTACATGATCACACCACAGATACAAAATAAGCCACACCTTGTGTTGTGTGTGTCGTGCATGAGAGTGTGCGCCAGAGCATCTCACCTCCTGTAACATGTCCGAGGCTTCGATGGAGCGGTTTATCATCTGTTTGGAGGTTTCCTGTATTTCGCCTCCCATTAGAAACTCATCCAGGATAAAATAGGCCTTCTCAAAGTTAAAGATTATGTCCAGTTCACACACCTGGAGGAGGCATGACAGCGATTATTGATTTTTACTTGAAATAAAACCACTCAGAGGGCAGAATGTCCTCATTTGACTTTCACATTAAAACTGTTGTCTGATGTGATCTTTCTAGCCTAGGCTAACGGTTAAGAAATCAGGATTTAGGCTAATGTAAATATTAATCAATATATTGCAGGTAGGTATCAACCTCAACACTAATTTAATCAGGTGCATGCAAATTCAAATAAATCCTTCTGCTACTTAAATTACTTGAAAATATTTTAACAAAGGTTTAGATATTATTATTTCATGGCAGTTAAATTGAAAACTTCTGATTAGATAGAAAATGTGTTTTCCTTCAGGACATAATTTGCAGTAGGCTACAAATAATAAGCATACGACTACACTTCTAAAATAAAATAAAATTCCAGGTCAGTGACTTGAGTATTGTGATAGCTTTGTATTATTTAGCCAACACTACCATGAGATTTATAGGTACACTCAGGCTACAGTTGGATATCAAATAAGAAGAATGGGAAAGACGGTGAAATACATTGCCAAAGTATTTGTCCAGCAGCTCCACGTAGCGATGAATAACCTCCAAAGCCAACAGCTCATTCTCCTGGTTCTCTATGGCCAAGCAGAAATACAAGCTTGCATACCTGAGGAAAAGGTGAACTTGTGTTTTATAGGTTTAAACAAACATAGAACTCAGTTACAAATTAAACATAGAGCAGACTGTCAGTCCAACTACGAAGGAGGAAGTAGATACATAATCTAACATGCAGGGGCAGCTCCCACCTCTTGTAAATAATCTTTAGGTCTTTCCAGTGTAGGAAGTTACAGGAGCGCGGTTGCCTAGACAACACCATGGAGGTCATGTCCCTGATGATCTTCTTCTTCTCACGTTCGGTCATGGGAGTGAACCACTTTTGCAGACGCAGCTTCCCCTGGCGACTGAAGAGCAACAGGAAGCGCATCTGACAACACAGACACACAAACAGGGCCTGGTGTGGTAACTGTGATACATGAAAGAACTGAGAGGGACACACACACAAACACACAGCTGCAAATGTAGACATTATTAACTACCCACTAACACACACAAAGGGTCAAACAAGATGTTCAGCTTGTAATGGTTCTTTACACAGTAACTTCACCTGGACACACATGGACAAAGGAGGGTTAACAAAAAATGAAGGAAGAGGCAGTTTGGCGTTTTATTTATACTCTTCAAGAGTTAGGACACAGATGTTCAGAGAATATCCTTCCTAAAGTTGGGAATACATTTGGCTTCATATCTGAGAAGACATTTATTTTCCCCTGCCCATATTGGGCAGGCACAAACAGATAGCCTACACCATTTCCTTTAAGTCTTCCTTTCATTGTTGTTGTAAGAGAGGCAACAAGTGTGACTGGAAAGAGACCTTATCTGGATTTAATGGTGTAAAAATTGATGGTGTTTTTTTTTTTGTGTGTGACACTTGAGTAGAATATGTCATTAGCAAAACACCACCCTTCAACTCTCATCTAGACCAACATGAGCAGAGATCAATTTACAGTCATGTGTAACAAAGCGCTTTTTAAATCCACAATAATGTTTGAAAAGGAGCTGGTGTATAAAACGGGGTGACAAAATAGTGACCTTGTCATATGCACATGCTGCAAACCCTGGCAAACAAATTCTTATCATTCAATGACAACAAAAATGTAGGGGGTTGAGTATCAATTACTTTGAATTTGAGGGTTCATGCGAATGAGGACATAAAAGGTAAAGAGACCAAATAAATATCAGGATTTAATGCCACCTCCAGGCTGACATTACATCCACATTAAACTTAAATAACAGCAGGCTGAAAACGAGTGAATTGACTGGGATTTCTAGGTGTGTTTCCTCTTTATGCGCTCGTAGGCAAATTGATATGGAAAGCGTCAAACTGCCACCAGGGCAGTACTCGAATTAAAGTGACGAAACCTGTTCTGCCGAGGCAGACCGGTTGAGGAAATGCACACCTTACACCTTACGTCGCTTAAAGTTTGGTCCACACTCAAATCTAAAAAAAAAAAAACTAGGTTAAAATATAAGTAAAGCTGTCTTAGAGAGGCGAATAAGATCAAAAAAGGCAGGAAGTAGTGTACAAATTTAGTTTTTTTAGCTTCTTCAGCTACCTGTCAGCGACAACAGGTGCAACAGGTGATCAGCTGCACGTAGACTGACGCTGTTTAAAGCGTAGAAAACAAACACTTACCATTTTGAAGCTTCGCCAGAGTTATACATACACATTAAAAAGACAAAAAATAAAATAAAAAAAATTAAGCAATTAAACCCTCACAAGGGGTCAGACGGACAGGCTAAACACATATCTGTCCGTCGTTCACTTCGGCAAGTGTAAAGTTGGTTAACTCCGCCCCGTCCTGTCCGCCGGGGAGGAGGGGGGGGGGCGGGGGGAGGAGCGGTGCCTGCCGGACGCGTCACCAAAACTTCACAACCATCTGGATTGGTTGTTTTGAGACGTGTAACGCGAGGACGCAACCAACAAAACAGCCCATCACAATCTAGAAAGAGCGACCACGTGATGTGTGCAAAAAAAAACGATGCAATGAATGAGCACGTCGATGTTTAACTTCGGTCACTTGACTGTAACTGAGCGTTCATGTTTGGTGTTATTCCCGCGAAGCGTCGGCAGAGAGCAGCACGCTCAGTCTCGCTTACTGTCTCTGCCTGTTTTGAATGGGACAGTGATCTGTTACAATAGTTTAAAGGACAGGACGAGCCGAGGCACTTCCACAGATTGTTTTTTTTTTTCACTTGATGTCATGTCTCTGTACCGGAATACAGTCTGGTTTTTGACCGGGATCCACCAATTTACAAGGTCAGTAAAAGCCATTGAATCCCAACTTTGGAGCTGATCTAGAAATACAAATATCTGCATTGAGGGGAGTTTATGTGAATATACAGTCTTAATTGTTAGTGAAGCTTGTTTACTATCTATGTATTGGATTTTTTTTTATTTTGGCACATGTGTTTATTATTATAACTTAGCCTTAAGACTTCTAAACAGAGGAAAAGCCTGGTCCCACTGATAAATAAAGTATTTCTGATTCTGATTCTGAGTCACTGTATGGGACACACAAACTGGTCCACTCAATAGTTCCATCGACAGCCCAAGTTTCTTGAGGATGACATTTAACATCACCTGATTCTAAAATTGATAGGTGTGTTTTATGTGCGGCTTTAGGAAGGGATATGAAGCGGCAGCAACATACTTTGAGCCCCAAGACCTGAATGTGTCGGTTGTGGGGAGGTCTTTTATGATCACCGGAGCAAACAGTGGAATTGGCAAAGCAACAGCCATGGCTATAGCAAAGAGAGGTAAATACTGAAGAGGTGTGTTCTCGGTCGAGCACTTTACATGGATAGAAAAAAAAAACAAAAAAAGTCTAACTTTTTGGTTCCAGGTGGGACCGTCCACATGGTGTGCAGGAACAGTGATAAAGCAGAAGAGGCAAGGGAGGACATCATCCATGAGTCTGGGAATACAGTGGGTGTTGTTCATCTTAATCATAACGATGACAAAAGGGGACAAAATGAGAGATTCATCCCATGATTTGTGTTATGAGATTATACTTATCTGCTACTTATTTTAGGAAGTGCATGTCCATATTTTGGACATGTCAGAGACTGGCAAAGTCTGGGAATTTGGAGAGGCCTTCAAGATGCAGTACCCATCCTTGAATGTGTTGGTAGGGGCCTTTTAATAATCTTTTCAAACTGTCTTTACAGACTTAAAAGGATGTTTAACTTTTTTTTTTTCTTTCTTGACAGATAAACAATGCGGGGTGCGTGGTTCACAAGAGGGAGCTGACTACGGAGGGACTTGAGAAGAACTTCGCTACTAACACGATGGGTGAGACTTAAATCTGATGGACAATAAGTGTCATCATGCTGCATCACCAAAAATAACACTTGGAACTTTTTTCTCCAACACTTCAGGGACGTACATCCTCACCCAAACTCTGATACCACTTCTAGAGAAGAGCCGAGACCCTAGAGTGGTATAAATCCACACACACGCTTCAATACACACAAACAAAGTCCTCATCTGTATCATGAGGACAGAAACATAAATAAAGCCTCTTCTGTTGACAGTGCTGTAGAGGCTGTTGTCTTAGCACACTGAGCCTCCTTTCTTCCTGCGTGTTAGATCACTGTGTCATCAGGAGGCATGCTGGTCCAGAAGCTCAGAGTCGATGACTTGCAGTCAGAGAAGGCCCACTTTGATGGCATCATGGTCTATGCCCAGAACAAGGTAGGAGACGAGAATGCGACCAGAGGTTTAGATGCAGTCAGTTGAGGAAAATGTCATTAGCCACTGGTGACTTTTCAGAGTTGATAACACAAGACAAAGAGCTCTTTCAGTATGTTATTCAACTTTCAAGAAAAAATACTCATATTCAATGGCAATTTGTTACTCCAGTGAGGTAATGTACTTGAATTTGAAATGGACCATTCATGTGCATTCGCTCACTTTCCATACTTTAATTGTAATGTGATGCTCATGCCTTTGTCCCATTACTCTACAAATCTATTGCAACGCAGGACGTGACTTGTGACTTGTTTTAAAGTGTAGTGTTGCTACTACATTACAGTAAAGATGTTTAATACCTTGTGACTTTGTTTCTAGCTTTGAGTTTCTTTGTTTAATGTGGTTGAAAAAAAATGTACCTGAAAGCCTAGCGGTTATTTTCCGCACCGACTGTACAGAGGATATAGCCTTGATATGGTTGCCGGGTTTGACTCCAGCCCGTTGCACTTTCCTGCATGTCATTCCAACTCTCTCATCTCTGTTCCCTACTCGGTCCACTATCCTCCTCGGCAATAAAGGTGCTTTTTTTTGAGTTCAGGAAACTATGTGTTGTTTCTTCTCAGAGACAGCAGGTGGTGCTGACACAACAGTGGGCTAAAGCCAATCCCAACATTCACTTCTCTGTGATGCATCCAGGCTGGGTGGATACACCAGGTACTGACTCTGACTGAAGACTTTTGTTGCTGCGGGTCTTTAATTTGCTGTTCTCTCATTTCTTTTATTAAACACATTGAACAGATTACAACAAGACTGTGTTTAAAATATAGTGACAATTATACAGGCGGTATGCAGCAAATGTTTGCATGTATGAAAAATGCAAAATCACCAGACACTATCTCCAAATACAAAGAGGAGTTTGGATAGGTACTGTCTAGGTTTCATAAATAAAAAAAAGACTTCTAATCTAAAAAATGCAGCAGTTATGTATTCTAACCGACTTGATTGTTTCCACAACAACGTGTTCCCATTAACCCCAATGTTAACATTATTCTGTAGTGGACACCTTGCCTCTCTCTAATTTGCTTGAGTATAAACATAGTCAGGTTTCATATCAGTGCAAATACAAGTAAGCGAGATTTTCAGCTGTTGACACGTGGGCCCATTGCCCTCATATTGACTATACATTAGCAATGTCAGTCCAATAAACAAACACACACCACTTACGTCTTAACTTACTGTTTCCAGCTGTTGCCTCTTCCATGCCTCAGTTCCACAAGATGATGGGGGATAGGCTTCGTAGTGTCGAGCAGGGAGCGGACACGGTGGTGTGGCTGGCTTTATGTCGAGCCTCTGCCCGATCACGCAGCGGGCAGTTCTTTCAAGGTGAGCAGCATTGAGTTCACACGTCGCCATCATCAGGCATTACCAGCTCTGACAGACTGTTTGTGTTGCAGATCGTTGCCCGATTCCTGCCCACCTGCCTCTGGCCTGGACTCGCAATTCTGCTGAAGAGATTCAACGTTTCATGAGTCGGCTGGAAGCGTTGGCCAAAGAAATTCTGTCGAAAGCTGAGGAAGAGCACAGATCCATGAGCTCTTTCAGACCACAGTACGACTGAAAAATGACAGCAAATGGTTCATTTAGGTAGCCTATTCGTTTGAACTCATATCAATTTCTATTGAGAAATGTGTGACATTTGTAGAATGTGATTTTATTGGGAAGATAGGACAGAGGGTAAAGTCAGAAATTGGAGAGTTGAGAATGACAGGAAAGTAGGTGTAGGTTGGATTAGAACCTGGGGAGGACTACAGCCTCTGTACATGGGGCGCCCAAGAGCGCACTTTATTATTCTACACAGGTATTGCCAGATGTACCCATGATGTCATCATATGTTTACTTCAGGATCTGCATTGAACATGTCATTTACTATTGATTTAAAGACCAAATGTATTGATTTGCATTGAAAACATCAATTTCAGTTACCGAATGCTTGTAAGATTTGTCTGATTCTGTCAAACGATAAACAAGGTTCTTCTAGGTGGTTTTTTTTTTTTGGATGTGATTTTTGACCTTAGTGACGTTTCAGATTCCATTCAAATTGCTGAACACTGGGAAAGAGACAATTTGGGTTTCAAATATTGCTCTTCCTTGGCGTGATGAAGAAGCTGCTTTAGCCAGAGCAGACAACACTTGTATGGGTCTTTGAAAGAAAAGAAAAAAAACATTTAATCTTCTGGACACCTCACCAGGAAAAGAACTCAAGTTTTAATACTTATTGCAATGTGAAAACCACTATGACACCAAGAGTCAAATGTAAAGATCTGCAAAGCATCTGTGTGAAAAATTACAGAGCATCAATACTCATTAATTTTATTTTTGTTTTGTAACAATCCACAGTTTCTGTTTTTAATAATTTTATTATTTTTATACAGTATTGAAACAAAAAAAATAATAATGTGGTGCATTCACATTTTTCCCAAGGGATTCTTTGCAAGTTTGATCTCTACAAGGGTAAAACAGTGAAAAGCTTGAAGCTGGATCCATCCAAAACTCACAGGGAATAGGAAGACTGGGCCCGATTTAAAAATCATCTACAAGTTTTGATGGATTCATTTTTTTTTTCCTGCGCCAACATTTCATTCCCCTTTTTATGTATGTTTACTGTGTTTCTATTAGGGACGATGAATCAGGTTCCCAGCATTTGTCTTTAAAAGAAACTTCCAGTCCATGCGTAACAACAGTCCAAAGAAAACAAACAAATCCTCTCTGTCCAGTCTCTTCCTCCTCTCATCCAGAGTTCATCTTCTATGCAACATAGGTGTACACTTTTCGATCTTCTGGCGTCCTCGCCAAGTATTCTCTTTCTATTAGTCCTTCTATGCGTTTTTTGATTACCACAGGGCTGGGAAGAAAACGTGCCCGTAGCTGCTGAGTCACCTGGAGACACAGAATCACACAATGTTAAACAAAACAACAATGTAAAGACATGTTTATTTATAGAGCAGCAATCATACATGAAGCATTTCAAAACAGAGTTAAAATCAATGCATTTATAACAGCCTTTAATATTACACTTCTCAACAGAACATAGAGTCATA